GTTACGAAAATGACTGTCTGCAGGAAGGCTAGTTCGCTATCGAAGAACCATCTAACTTTTAATAAAATAGCATTTTTTCGAAAGATGAGACCTTAATCTTGAACTTCCATTAATCTCTTTAATGTATTTTCTCTGAGCACTAGCGGACCGATCCAAAGTTACCCCCCCCCCCCTCCAATTTTCCATATGTTATACACGAAGAATTATGAAAATGACTGTCTGCAGGAAGACTAGTTCGCTATCGAAGAACCATCTAACTTTTGATAAAATAGTATTTTTTCGAAAGATGAGACCTTAATCTTGAACCTCCATTAATCTCTTTAATACGTATTTTCTCTGAGCGCTAGCGGACCCATCCAAAGTTATCCCCCCATCCCCTTCCAATTTTCCATATGTTGTACACTTAGAGTTAGGAAAATGACTGTCTGCAGGAAGACTAGTCCGCTATCGAAGAACCATCTAACTTTTGATAAAATAGCATTTTTTTGAAAGATTAGACCTTGTTCTTGAACTTCCATTAATCCCTTTAGTACGTATTTTCTCTGAGCGCTAGCGGACCGATCCAAAGTTACCCCCCCCCCCTCCAATTTTCCATATGTTGTACACTTAGAGTTAGGAAAATGACTGTCTGCAGGAAGACTAGTTCGCTATCGAAGAACCATTTAACTTTTGATAAAATAGCAATTTTTCGAAAGATCAGACCTTAATCTTGAACTTCCATTAATCTCTTTAATACGTATTTTCTCTGAGCACTCGGACCGATCCAAAGTTACCCCCCACCCCCTTCCAATTTTCCATAATGTTGTAGACGTAGACTTATGAAAATGACTGTCTGCAGGAAGACTACTTCGCTATCGAAGAACCATCTAACTTTTGATAAAATAGCATTTTTTCGAAAGATGAGACCTTAATCTTGAACTTCCATTAATCTCTTTAATATGTATTTTCTCTGAGCGCTAGCGGCCCGATCCAAAGTTATCCCCCCATCCCCTTCCAATTTTCCATATGTTGTACACTTAGAGATAGGAAAATGACTGTCTGCAGGAAGACTAGTCCGCTATCGAAGAACCATCTAACTTTTGATAAAATAGCATTTTTTCGAAAGATTAGACCTTGTTCTTGAACCTCCATTAATCTCTTTAATATGTATTTTCTCTGAGCGCTAGCTGACCGATCCAAAGTTACCCCCCCCCCCTCAAATTTTCCATATGTTGTACACTTAGAGTTACGAAAATGACTGTCTGCAGGAAGGCTAGTTCGCTATCGAAGAACCATCTAACTTTTAATAAAATAGCATTTTTTCGAAAGATGAGACCTTAATCTTGAACTTCCATTAATCTCTTTAATACGTATTTTCTCTGAGCGCTAGCGGACCGATCCAAAGTTATCCCCCCATCCCCTTCCAATTTTCCATATGTTGTACACTTAGAGTTAGGAAAATGACTGTCTGCAGGAAGACTAGTCCGCTATCGAAGAACCATCTAACTTTTGATAAAATAGCATTTTTTCGAAAGATTAGACCTTGTTCTTAAACTTCCATTAATCTCTTTAATACGTATTTTCTCTGAGCGCTAGCGGACCGATCCAAAGTTACCCCCCCCCCCCTCCAAATTTTCCATAATGACCCATAGAGAGTTATAGGAAAATGACCGTCTATTTTAACCTTAATTTTTCTAGTTTGATATAAAAAATAATATAATTTATTATTTTTGCAAACTATTCGTTTTTGTTTAAAATCAGGTTAATAAATAATTTATTTAGTTGCATTAATGAAATTTTAATTTAAGACCCTTATACTTTTTACATTCTTCAAATTGGTTTTCCGGCTGGAATCCGGCCAACTTCCATTCAATGCCTATCTATTCGAGCTCAGCATTCAGTGACCCTTGTCTTGGCGGGAGCTGTAGGGGTGGTTTAGCACTCGATTCGTAGCCTTCGAGGCTCCGTGGCGGCGTCCCTTGCGACGAGAATAAAAGGTCCTTTCTAAAGTCAGATTACATGGGGAAAGAGAACTCTGAACTTAAAAAATCAATGATTGTATTGTGCTTCATAGTATGAATCACACTAAGTTTGCACACAAATTGAAAAAATGTTGAGCGAAAATCGTTATTTCGGCCGTAATCAACCTTTGTAGTAAATTGTACAACGAAGAAAAAATGTATGTAATCTCGTATTCAGTCGTTTCTTTTGATTTTTTTCTTTCAAAACAACAAATATATTTCTAGTTTGTTATCAAAAATGATACTACATATCTTTAATTAATGTCATTTATACAACTAAAAATTAGAATTTTAATTGTGTATAGATTATGTAAAAGATAACAAATTATCAACATATCTCTTTTTTAACCATTATTATGTATGAATATGATTGTTCCCACATTCGGCCATGCATACTCGCTGCGGTTATTCATGTTCTGCCAGCCTAGCACCTTCATATGGATTTTACCCATACACCGTATGAAGGTGCTCAGTCCATTGACCTCTACCACTAGAGGTCAGTGGTTGGTACGGGTGATGCGGAGGACGAGGGGGGCAGTGGTGATGAAGATGATGATGAGAATGATGATGAGGAGGATGAGGGTGATGATAATGATCATGATCATCATGAGGTTGAGCATACATTTTAAGGTATAACAATAGTAATGATGGTGATCAATGATGATGGAGATTGAAGGAAATGATTAAAGGAGAAATGAAAACATGATTAATGCAACATTGTGATAACGTTGATTAAACTTGCCCCAATATACGCTAGGGGATTTTTTCTTTTCTTACTAGAGGTGAGTTGGAGGAGGGGGGGGGGGGGGGGGAGGTACTTGTGAGTACATACATTGTCTCCGGGGTGGTTATCCTGATGGAAATTCTGAAGATAGTTGTCCTGAATGTATGTAGTACACATAGTTTATAAATCAGCATTGTTTCCCCAAGGATGTTTGTCAAATACATGTTGGTAACTTACTCGATCATTATGTCCTGGATCATCAACACGATGTGTAATCCGAGTTTTATTCTACACATGTGATTCATAAATATGATTTAAGTATAATATTTTAAAAAATAGGCCTGATTATCAAGATTCAGACAAATCTGTAATTACTTAAATAGAACTGGAGGGGATGTACATGGGACTCACCCTTGAATTAAATTTAATAAAAGGTTTATTGCGTAAACATGCAAACAAAAATAATAATATAAAACAATATTTTAAGATAAATCTGTCGCGGCTAGAAGCCAAATTGCGGAAATTATCACAGTGAAAGATTGAAAACACCAAGTTCGGCTATTATCACATTGTTGTCACAGATAATAATTTAATTCCTTTTAATCGTCGATAATCTCAAAATAGAGAAACCACTTCTTCGAAATCCTTTGAAAGAGGTTGCGATAGAAGCCAGTGGCATACATACAGGGAAGGGGGGGGGCTCGGGAGCATGTGCGGGCCTCATTAATCGAGTGGTGAAAAAAAAATAGAAATACAAATTGAGAAAGGGAAAGGGATAAGGGGTAAAGGACGAGAATGAACAAATCCGGACCATCTCCAGCAGCCACCCCTTCTCATAAATAAAATCGCATTAAGTTTTCTCGATTAAGACCGTTGCCAACCCCCCCCCCCCCCTCCTCAATGGGTAGGCACACGCTACGCCACTGATAAATAGGGGCGATGAACAGGCTGCCTCAAGACGAACCTCAAGTCTGAATGGAACGGAAGCAGCGATTTACATGAATCAATTATTGACACCCTTCCCGCCTCGACTTGTCTTGTGTCATAATTCGTCATGTTCGCCGTTTTTTCGGTGATTCTACAAAAATGAGAAAGGACGTAACCGTGTTTTGAACTAAACACTGACGTAACAAATGCCTCATTTTATTCTGGCCAGAAAAGGTTGAGCAATAAAGTAGGCCTACGTGCTCTTTTCTGAAAGATCTTTGTCATATTAAAAACTTGTTGCAACAAAAAATTATCCTCATTACTATTTTTTAATGTTTTTTTTTTTTTTTGCAGTCGTATAGTGGATGTCACCAATGTATCAGAGCAGAGGCGATGATTTCTTGTCATGACCCGGGGGGGGGGGGGGGGGGGGGAGAGCATAGTAAACGAGAGGGGAATATTCATTTTTGTAGCACTAATCTATTTCTATTACTCTTAATCTTGTAAACATACAGTGTACACTGTATTTACGTGATACCAACGGAATACATATTTTCTACAATATTTACTTGTAGATTTTGAAGGATATTATATGCGAGAAAGCTTAGCGACCGCGCGAGAAGATTGTTGCATTTGTATTAGTTTAAACCCTGCACTCTTGGGCCTTCCAAAGCCTAAACGTGTAGTGTTGCAGTATTTAGTAAGTATTTGCTAAACAAAAATTGAGAGAACGTGTCACCCCCCCCCCCCCCCCCCCCCCCGCGTCCCCTCCCCGGAATCAGTATCACCGCCCCTGCACCATAGGAATACCAAATTTGCCAACTCTTTTTAATGTTTTAGGAAATATATCACTCGGTGTTTACTGGTAAAAATCTTTTTGTCCAATCCCCGTAATGATGAATAGGCATATGTTTAAGCCAACTTAATGGATTATTTAACATTTATTTCCACTTTTATTGTCTTCGTATGTATATTCTTTGCAAATAAGGGTATTACAAAATCTATATGTTACATTTGTGCTTACAACGCCTGTCAATTCAAATATTGTATTGTCTTCAAAAATCATGTTCGCATTATTTAATATGACACTGTAATGTTGAAAACATTTCATGATCGGAAAGCTGAGTGATCTTTGCCTTGATAATGATTCATGAAAGCCTTGCTTTCGTTCTAGGCATTGACTTACCTCTCATTGTAATGTAAACGTGCCAAAATGTACTGAGAGTCATCTGTATAGCGATGTCTTGTATTGATTGAATTGTGAATGGTTTCTTAATTCCAATGTCCGAAGACGGGAGCCAAGAAACTGAATATATGATAGCAGGCAACCTTCTTATGAGAATGCACAAAGTAAATTAGCGAATAATGTTCTCCTGCGCGGGAGGATTAGGCGCGTTCCATCTGCCACGGGTAATCCACATTGCCCGTTAACCTTGGCCTTCGGTTGTGTGCGTGCGTATAGCTAGTGCATTCAAACTACATAGCATACGGCAGAAAATTAGGGTTGAGCACTACTTGAGCGAAAAATAGTAAGTCACATTTTATCCGTCGAGGCCATGTACTTCCATACAATAAAATAATGGCTGTAAACTCTTATATAACAGACACCGAAACGGGAGTAGATTCATTACGCTATCAACCAATCAATTATTTCATCGGTGTATAGCTCTATCGGTTCATTTTTCACTTTTCAAAATCTTCACAATCATGGCGGCCTTTTGTGTGCTCTATTGTGTGATGTTTACTGTATTGGTTCTCATGGCAACGGAGATCAAGTGCGCAAGTAATACAAGTAATATATTTCCTCTATGATTTCCTATTATTTGTACAGCTAAACTACAAATTTTCTTATTTGTTTTTGTTTCGTTGTTTGTGTCCGTCATGTGTCTCTGACTCCGTTATCTTTCAAAATTCAATTATGTCGGAATGTATAAAGTTTAAATTATTATAGTACGAACCTACACTTTACAAGCATTGCTTCCAAGTATGTTCGTTTTTCATTTCCTGTAACTGAATAATTTTGCGTTACAAGTCTAAAAAAAAACATTGTCAAAGATATCTCAATGCTAATTTTTCTTTTATATCATTATGTTTATTTTTGTGATTATCTTGTCATTATGTATATTATGTGGAAAATGAAATAAATTCGCTCTGCATAGAGCGACTACTAGTACTATACTATACTAAACAATAGTATATTCCTACTGCTACCTCAACTGCTACTTCTGCTATATATTAATACTACTGCTACTACTGCTCCTCCTCCTCCCCTCGATCCTTCTTTTTCTTCATCTTCTTCTCCTTCTTCTACTACTATTTACTACCATTATTGTGATGAACATGTTTGCTTTATATCATCCCTCAGCAGCAGGTGTTGACATGATATTCATTGCTGATACGGGTCACAAGAAGGTGCTAGCTGCTACCTTGGGTGCTTACCGGTTCCGCTCATTGGTGCTTGCGGACATCGAGGTTTGGGACGTGACTTTCAGCGAGGTCAATCAAAAGCTTTACTGGGCCAGCAAACACAATGGACATATCTACCAAGCTAACGCCGACGGGTCCGGTGTCAAACAGGTGTCAAGTACATCCCATACAGGTATGAACAAGAGGGTGTTAACCCTGTGGTGTGAGTGGAACGGTGTCCGAGAAAGTGTCGAGGTGTTAACCACATGGTATCAATTAAACAGTGTCAAAAGCACATGATGTCAAAGTGTTTTACCCATATATGGTATCAATAAACTAATTCAGAGATACATAGTACCCAAGGGTGTTAACCACATGGTGCAAAAGAAACATTGTGTCATTAGACATAAAAGTAGGCCTATATATATTTTATGTCCCATTTGCAGGCCAAAAAAAGGAAAATGTTAAACTCCAACGGTATTTGAAAGATAATACTAATTTAGAACTTCCCTCAAAACGAAAGGGCTTAACAATATCTTTAAGGGGGAAAATAACGACCATTAGTTGATGAATTGACTTGGGTGATTGCAATCACTAAAGTAATAGTCTGATGTTCAGAACCTTGTACCGAAGTACTGCGCAAAGATTCAATCAGTTTAATTTTGGCCATTACAAGAAGTGGGTTAATGATGTAGACAAAATGCTTATGTACCCTTTACCGCTCATTTTTATGTATGTTATTACCACCCCACCCCCACTCCGGGGTCGGAATGACCGCATGCGTATTACCAAAATGTCCGGTAAAGGGGTACTTTTCGTGCGACAAAGTCCGGCCCGAGAATTGTAAGAAAAGGGGGTGTATTTGACTTTCACCCGGAGATTTCTTTAAATAGGGGATGTTTTTTTGTTTTTTTTCTCTCTCATCTCTTTGGACTCCTGAGAAATTATTCCGAATTTAGGGGGGTAAATTGAGCATTTTCCCGAATTAAGGGGGGTACATTGAGCATTTTTCCGAATTTAGGGGGGTCTCCAAGGCAGGAAAAGCCCGCGAAAGGGGAGGGGGGGGGGGGTTCGGAAATGTTGGCAGTCCTCAGATAGGGGGTGCTTTAAAAAGAGGGAACAAGCATATGCGTACCCTAAATAACACTGAGTGGGGGGGGGGGGGGCCGGGGTTATTACCAAAGAAAAAAAAGAAATTATCCACTCAATAGTGTCTGACAGTGAAGTCTGGAAAGTAAACGGGTTTCCTTGCATAATTTGAATATTAAGATACTACTTACGATAGGAGATACATGACATGTTCATAATTCCTGCAAATTTCTACAGAATTTGATGTTTGCTGCAAATGGGACATAGTACCTTTAAAGGTATCATTGGTACACGGGGTGCCAGGGTGTTAACCATAATGGAATCAGTAAAATGGTGTCAACGAAACACTTTGTCTAAGTACAATAGTTGGGGCAAGTAATAACTTCAGTTCCACTGTCGCCCAAAATACACTGGGTCCTGCTTGACAAAACAGGTTGCAATTACTCTTAAAAGCTACTGAAATCGTTGCATTTGATTGACTGAGAGGTTTAACAAAAAATTATGTGACACTTGGTTATCAATAACAAATGCTAAGATGATTATAAATTTGTTCTCACCCAATCAAAAAAGTTATGATTTCAATAGCTTATGATATGTATTGTAACTTATGATATTGATCGAAGTTTTAATTATGGCAATAGGATTGTTTTTAGTCCTTTATCGGATAAAAAGGGTTGCATTCTTTATTTGAGTGTTGAATGTTGTAACAAAAACAGCGAATTGAAAAAAAATCAATGACATTTTTCTTCTTTTCAGAACCAACATCGCTTTCGATCGACGAAACCAACCAGCAGATTTACGTGGCTTACAAAGGCGAGGAGCTGATCAGTAGCTTTAACCTCAACGGGACAGTAGTGAGGGAGACACCAGTGCACCCTGCTCTCAGTAAACCAGGGGCCATTCATGTTGATTCAGAGAACGGGTAAATACCTTAAAAATACCCTTTTACAGCATGAAAGTAACAACGTCAGCACGTTCAGGGGCGTATCTCAAAATCGGGGGATCGAGTGTGGGGGGGGGGGGGGGGGGAGTTGTCCTCCGTAGAGGACGTGAGATGGGGAATTGCATATATTGTATATAATTTGATTTGATCTGCCCCATTTCCAAATGGGCCGTAATGCAGAGGGGAGGAAGAGTGGAGGGGGTGAGAGAGAGAGGGAGAGGGGAGGGGAGGGGGGTGGACGTGCACACGCGTTCCTTCTCTGTATCTATACCACTGCCACTTCGGATAAATAAATATGACATCCAGTGGCCTAGGTACAGGAGCACGCGAGCGAATGATGATTTGTAAAAAGAGAAAGAGGGAGAGAGAGAGAGAGAGAGAGGTAGAGAGTGAGAGAGAGAGAGAGAGAGAGAGAGAAAGAGAGAGAGAGAGAGAGAGAGAGAGAGAGAGAGAGAAGGGGTGGCAGGGACGAGACCCCCGACATGATCGGCCCTTCAAGCAGTCTCTTTATAATTCGTTAATTTGCATTCAATTTACTGTGTATGATCCTGGCTCCCTCCCATTCAAATTATTCTGTAACTGATCCCGTCTGTTCTTCTTCTCACATTTTCTAGGTATCTGTACTTCACCCAGTTCGGACGGGTGGACCGATCACCGCTCTCCGGTGGGAATATCACCAACCTCCATTACAACAACGATCTTGGTGAAATCGAGGCAATGGCCGTCGATGTCGAAGGTATGAATCTCTCTCTCTCTCTCTCTCTCTCTCTCTCTCTCATTCCCTTTCCCTTCTCCCCCTTTCTATTTATCTCAATCTCTCTATCTTTCTCCTCTCTTTCCCTCTCTCTCTCTTTCTTTTCTCCCCTCGATCTCTCTCCCCTAGTTTTTTTCTCTCACTGCCTTTCTCTTTCCCCTCTCTCCCTATCTCTCTATCTCCCCCCCCCTTCACCCTCTCCCCTCCTCCCCCTCTCTTCAGCTCTCCCCTCTCCCATTTACTCTTTCCTTTTCTCTCCCCTCTCCCCCCCCCCCCCACCATCTGCCTTTCTCTCTCACCCCACTCTATATATAAATATATATAATAGGCCAGGGGGTGTTTCACTTAGACTAAGATCGGCTTTAAGTTGGACTTAACTTTGGCAGGCTGTTCATGCCACTGTTTTCTCTCACCATTTACTGGCATTGGTCTCTCAGAGGACGTAAAAATCATGGTCACAAATTTACAGAATTTACATTGTTTGATAGTTCATTATTGAAGAAAAAAATAATATCTAGAGATAATAATTGAGAGACCAATGGTGAGAGCAACAAGTGGCGTGACCAGCCTGCCATTGTTAAGTCTTACTTAAAGTTGATCTTAGTCTTTGGGAAGCACTCCCCAGGCGTGTTAACGAAAGAAATTCAGTTACAATTAAAAAGGGTGTATGTCTGTCTGTTCTCCGCAGCGTGACCTAGCTGGGTCACTAATTTCGAGAACAATAGTTGTTGATAATTATAAGACGAGTTTACGATGGTGACCGTTCGTACTAATCTCTCTGTCTCACCGGTGTCGTTTCTAGGTCAGCGTATCGTGATCAGTGATCCCGGCAATGGCCTAGTCGTCAGTATGAACCTCGACGGCTCCCTACCAAAGGTCATCAGCAGCCTATCCTCCAACTACAAGATCACAGACCTACAGTTCTACCAGGGCGACCTCTACGTTAGCAACGTCGAACGCGAGCAGCGGTCCATTTTGAAGCTAAGAAACGGAGTGGGGAGACCGGTGAAAGCCTATACGGACAACCGAGACGTACTCAGCTATCCAAGGAAGTTCCACATCGCACATGTAGACCTCTAGATGTATTCGTGGATAGCCCCACGGTTGTATTTATTCAGGCATTTTCGTCTGTCTTGATGTTTTTAAATAAAGCAGATCTCTTGCGCCATTCAAATAGCCCGTAGCACACGAAGCGTCTTTTCGATTGCGTCATTGCTTGAGAACATGGTTACGGCAAACACCCAATCACAAGTAATTCAAAGCATTGTTTTAAGTCTTTATTTTGTGTCCAATTTTGTTACGAGTTCACTCTTAGATTGCACGTCAATGGCAACGTCTGCGCTGACTCTTGTTCATCATTACTGTATTGCATTTTAAATGCATATTTAGGGTTTTGTGGAAAAGACTCATCAGGTATACATCCACCCAGTCTCCAGACTGACGTAATATACCCCTCTCATAAAGAATACACATCCAGCTATCCAAAAACACCTCTCATCTCCACACCCATATACTTTGGGAAAACGGAGCCACGTCCGGGCCTCTAAACTACAAGCCAAATAGAAACCACTTGCAGTAGTCAGGATGGCAAACTCTTCGTCAGATGACGGTGATAGAGACAAGGGACAGGCCAGCCCTCCAGCATCTAGGACCCGTTCTAAGATTTTTTAATCTAATTCTTCATAAATGTCCTGTTATCATGTTTACTCAGCAATAGTGACATACACAATGCTTGACATATATGTACTACAGTATGATGAAGTCAACAAAGAAATAAGTCTATATATTTTTAGGAATAATGCATTATACCACCACTCAATTTGGGTTTACTGTCTCTTTCTTTCTTTCAAAATCTTTCTGAATTTTAATTGTTGAACAATACGTTGATGTCAGTTGATATATGATTATTGGACCTGTGAAGTCCCATGTACCTTATAATTATGTTTAAATGCGATTGCTCTTGAGTGTTTTTTTTTCTTCATATCTATGTATTTAAAGTGCAGTTTTATTGTACACTGTCGCTCATAAAGGTGGAATATTTTAGTTTCACCCCAATTTATGGAATTATTTTAAAAATAATTTTAAAATAGTAGATCTAGATGATAGTATACATTCTCAGATTGTATTGACTAATAATTTGCCAATGTGTGTTTTGCGTGACTGCTAAAGCATGTGTATATTACTATGCTTATCAACTAATGGACTTACGCCCTTAAGTCATAAATGACAGTAATGAGGATTAATGCCCCACAGTTTGCAGTCACGCAAAACACACATTGGCAAATTATTAGTCAATAAAATCTGAGAATATATACTATTATCTAGATCTATTATTTTTAAATTATTTTTAAAATAATTCCATAAATTGCGGTAAAACAAATATATTCCACCTATATGAGCGACAGTGTACAAAGTATATATACATGTAACTATATTGTGAACCATTTTTATACCTGCCTTTTTTACTGTATGAAATCCAACTCATGGTTGCAATAAATGAATAAATAAATTAAATTATTCAAAATACCATTCCAAAAACAAAACGAATGAGACATTTTACATCATTAGCATGCTGAAATATACTGGTTGCTAATAAACTCTCTTTTTTAAGGTTCATCATCTGCATAGATTATTTTACATGAAGACAAAAGATGTATTAAAAACAGTACTGTGTGGTATAGTCTCTTTCTTGCATGCCATGGTTATCATGTTCTGGTTGAAGGTTTACATGTTGATAAAACAAGGCAGTTCAATGGGAAATATGACTAATATAATCATCATATTTACTTTTTAGTTCATTACTGTTTTTCATAAATATTTTGTGAGTAGAGTATCAGAAGCAAGTCAGTTTACACAATCTCATTGTAGGGTATTTCAATAATGTAGTACACAGTCTCAAACGCTACAAAGTTTACCAATGCTAAAAGGTTGTCTTCACCCAGGCAAACACGTAATCTTTGACTAAACAATTATCAGCTGAACAATACATGATAAATATGGAAATATCAATTTGACAAAACAATTTCATTTCTCATCATACAGATAAAATTAAAAAGAGCAACATTATATTGTATGATTATAGGATAGTTTGAAGTACCAAATACAATTATGATGAGAATGACTATAGAAGTAAAAACTAAAAACATTAAATGTGAACTAGTAACATTGTGTTTTGACAGAAAAACTAATTGTGGAAATGTAATTTCTATTCATATTCCAATGAAGGCATCCACCCCTGTAAATACAAACATTAAACAAAAATAAATAAACAAATTCTTCAATACAAAGATACGATATGAGGGATTCATAGAACTGAAATCAAAAACTCTAATATGCATTACTGATTTCTAAAAATGAGGTAGGTATACCTGATCAATAGCTGTTCTGAGCTATACATTTGAATATTAAAGATTTGTTTGCAGGAGTTCAGTACAATACAGTAACAGAAAACTGACACCGACATGGGCGTCGATCCCGGGGGGGGGGGGTGGGGGGATATATCCCCCCAATATTTCGGGTGGGGGGGGGGTGGCCTGTACAATCACCCCCCCCCAATAATTATCATACAAAATTTAAAAAAAATGAAGAGAAAAATTAATGATGAGAGCCCGATGAGAGTAGTTAATGGTTATTACTCGCAAGATGACCATCAATATACACATTTTGCCATAGGGCCTATCATTTTTATAAATGAGACAAGAATAAATTGAATTCTTGCTCATACAGCTTCATCAGGAATTGATGAATGTATTAAATTTATTCAATCAACAGCAAAATAGAAATGCAGTGCGCCAAATGCAAAGCCGCAGCATTAAAAAGCAAATGTAAAGCGCGAAGCGCAAAAGTGCAAAACAGAAGTAGAGAGTGGGAGAGAAAGATAATGAGAGACAGAGAGGATACAGGCGCGTAGCCAGGGGGCTGTGGGGGCGGTCGCCCCCCCCCAAAGAAAAAAACCGCCGGCCAAAAAAAAGAGAGAGAGAGAGAAAGAAGAAAGGAAGAGGACGTAGGAAAAAAAAGGACTAAGAGTCGAAAATGGTACAACGAATCGTCTTCTTTCTTTAATAATTTAATGAAACATCAAAACTTCCGCGCTTCGCGCGGGAAGGGGGGGGGGGGGGGAGAACTTAATTCAGACAAGGATTAAAAGTCGTGAATGGTACAACGAATCGTCGTCTTTCTTTAATAATTTAAACAAACATCAACAGGACCTGAATTTAGGGGTGGGGGGGGGGGACTGAATTCATACAAGGATAAAGAGTCGAAAATGGTGCAACGAATCGTCTTCTTTCTTTAATAATTTTATGAAACGTCAGAGCTTCCACGCTACGCGCGCAGGAAAGGGAACTTGATTCAAACAAGGATTAAGAGTCGAGAACGGTACAACGTATTGTCTTCTTTTCCTAATAATTTAATGAAATGTCAAAGCCTCCGCGCTTCGCGCGGGAGGGGGGGGGGCTGAACTGAATTCAGACAAGGATTAAGAGTCGGAGATGGTGCAACGAATCGTCTTCTTTCTTTAATAATTTTATGAAACGTCAGAGCTTCCACGCTACGCGCGTAGGAAAGGGAACTTGATTCAAACAAGGATTAAGAGTCGAGAACGGTACAACGAATTGTCTTCTTTCTCTAATAATTTAATGAAATGTCAAAGTTTGCTTTAAATCAATTCGTTGATTTTATAATCAATCCATTTCATTGCGATTACAACACACAATTAAAATTCGTACGCTACCCACAGAATATGGTAGCGTATGAAGGTGCTCAGTCCAAGACCTCTACCACAATGGATCGGTGGATGGTACGGGTGATGCGGAGGACGAGGGGGACAGTGGTGATGAAGATGATGATGAGAATGATGATGAGGAGGATGATTATGAGGGTGATGATAATGATCATAATCATGATGAGGTTGAGCATACATTTAAGGTATAACAATAATAATGATGGTGATCAATGATGATGGTGATTGAAGGAAATGATTAAAGGAGAAATGAAAACATAATTGATGCAACATTGTGATAATGTTGATTAAATTTGCCCCAATATACGCTAGGGGATTTTTTCTTTTCTTACTAGAGGTGAGTTGGAGGAGGGGGGGGGGGGTGGTACTTGTGAGTACATGCATTGTCTCAGGGGTAGTTATCCTGATGGACATTCTGAAGATAGTTGTCCTGAATGTATATTGTACAGATAGTTTATAAATCAGCATTGTTTCCCCAAGGATGTTTGTCAAATACATGTTGGTAACTTACTCGATCATTATGTCCTGGATCATCAACACGATGTGTAATCCGAGTTTTATTCTACACATGTGATTCATAAATATGATTTAAGTATGATATTTTAAAAATAGGCCTGATTTTAAGTAGTACTTGTATATCTAGATTCAGACAAATCTGTAGTTACGTAAGTAGAACTGGAGGGGATGTATATGGGACTCGCCCTTGAATTGAATTCAATAAAAGGTTTACTGAGTAAACATGCAAAAAAAAAATAATAACATAAAACAATATTTTAAGATAAATCCGTCGCGGCTAGAAGCCAAATTGCAGAAATTATCACATATGAAAGATTGGAAACACCAAGTTCGGCTATTATCACATTGCTGTCACAGATACTAATTTAATTCCCTTTTAATTGTCGATAATCTCAAAATAGAGAAACCCCTCCTCAAAATCCTTAGAAAGAGGTTGCGATAGAAGCCAGTGGCATACATACAGGGAAGGAGGGGGGGGGGGGGGTCCTGGAGCACGTGCGGGTCACATTAATCGAGTGGTGAAAAAATATAAATAAAATTGAGAAAGGGAAAGGGATAAGAGGTAAAGGACAAGAATGAACACATCCGGATCATCTCCAGCAGTCACCCCCTCTAATAAATAAATTTGCATTTAGTTTTGTTTCGATTAAGACCGTTGCCAACCCCCCCCCCCCTCAATGGGTAGACACGTACACGCTACGCCATTGATCAATAGGGGCGATGAACAGGCTGCCTCGAGACGTATCTCAAGTCTGAATGGAACGGAAGCAGCGATTACATGAATCAATTGACACCCTTCCCGCCTCGGCTTGTCTTATGTCATAATTAGTCAAGTTGGTCTTATTAAAGTCTGTTAACACTAATAAAGTAAGCCTACGTGCTGCTTTCTGAGAGAAATTTTCCTTCTGAAAGATCTTTGTTAAATTAAAAACTTATCCCCTCCCCCCCCCCCCAAAAAAAAAAAGTTCCTCAATACTACTCTTTAATCTTTTTTTTTTTTGCAGTCGTAGTGGATGTCACCAATGCCTCAGAGCAGAGGCGACGATTTCTTTTCATGACCCGAGGGGGGGGGGGGGGGGGGGGGGGGAATATTCATTTTTGTAGCACTTATCTCTTTCTATTACTCTTAATCTTGTAAACATACAGTGTACACTGTACTTACGTGAGCGTACCAACGGAATACAGATTTTCAACAATATTATTTTACTTGTACATTTTGAAGGATATTATAAGCGAGAAAGCTTAGCGACCGTGCGAGAAGATTGTTGCATTTGTATTAGTCTAAACGCTGCACTGTTTGGCCTTCCAAAGCCTAAACGTGTAGTGTTGCAGTATTTAGTCCGTATTCAGTGCTAAACAAAAATTGAGAGGACGTGTCACCCCCCCCCCCCCCCCTCCGTCCCCTCCCCGGAATCAGTATCACCGCCCCTGCACCAGAGGAATACCAAATTTGCCAACTCTTTTTAATGTTTTAGGAAAAATATCACTCGGTATTTACTGGTAAAAATCTTTTTGTCCAATCCCCGTAATGATGAATAGGCATATTATGTTTAAGGTAATTTAATGGATTATCTAAAATTATTTACACTTTTATTGTCTTCGTATGTATATTCTTTGCAAATAAGGGTATGTTACATTTGTGCTTACAACGCCTGTCAATTCAAATATTGTATTGTCTTCAAAAATCGTGTTCGTATTATTTAATATGACACTGTAATGTTGAAAACATTTCATGATCGGAAAGCTGAGTGATCTTTGCCTTGATAATGATTCATGAAAGCCTTGCTATCGTTCTAGGCATTGACTTACCTCTCATTGTAATGTTAACGTGCCAAAATGTACTGAGAGTCATGTGCAGCGATGTCTTGTATTGATTGAGTTGTGAATGGTTTCTTAGTTCCAATGTCCGAAGACGGTAGCCAAGAAACTGAAATATATGATAGCAGGCGACCTTCTTATGAAAATGAACAAAGGAAATTGGCGAATAATGTTCTCCTGCGCGGGAGGATTAGGCGCGTTCCAGCTGTCACGGCTAATCCACATTGCCCGTTAACCTTGGCCTTCGGTTGTGTGCGTGCGTATAGCTAGTGCATTCAAACTACATAGCATATGGCAGAAAATTAGGGTTGTGCACTACTTGAGCGAAAAATAGTAAGTCACATTTTATCCGTCGAGGCCATGTACTTCCATACAATAAAATAATGGCTGTAAAATCTTATATAACAGACACCGAAACTGGAGTAGATTCATTACGCTATCAACCAATCAATTATTTCATCGGTGTATAGCTCTATCGGTTCATTTTTACTTTTTTAAATCATCACAAACATGGCGGCCTTTTGTGTGGTACTCTCTTGTTTGGTATTTACTGTTTTGGTTCTCATGGCAACGGAGATCAAGTGCGCAAGTAATACAAGTAAGATATCAATATATTTCCTCTATGATTTCCTGTTATTTGTACAGCCAAACTACAAATTTTCTTATTTGTTTTTTGTGTCGTTGTTTGTGTCCGTCATGTGTCTCTGACTCCGTTATCTTTCAAAATTCAATTATGTCGGAATGTATAAAGTTTAAATTATTATCGTACGAACCTACACCTAACAAGCATTGCTTCCAAGTAGGTTCGTATGTCATGTCCTGTTACCAAATAATTTTCCGTTACAAGTCTAACAAAAACATTGTCAAAGATATCTCAATGCTAATTTTCTTTTATATCATTATGTTTATTTTTGTGATTATCTTGTCATTATTTATATTATGTGGAAAATGAAATAAATTCGCTCTGCATGGAGTGACAACTAGTACTATTCTATACTAAACAATAGCATATTCCTACTGCTACCTCAACTGCTACTTCTGCTTTATTAATACTACTGCTACTACTGCTCCTCCTCCTCCTCCTCCTCCCCTCGATCCTTCTTTTTCTTCATCTTCTTCTCCTTCTTCTACTACTATTTACTACCATTATTGTGATGAACATGTTTGCTTTATATCATCCCTCAGCAGCAGGTGTTGACATGATATTTATTGCTGATACGGGTCACAAGAAGGTGCTAGCTGCTACCTTGGGTGCTTACCGGTTTCGCTCATTGGTGCTTGGAGACATTGAGGTTTGGGACGTGACCTTCAGCGAGGTCAATCAAAAGCTTTACTGGGCCAGCAAACACAATGGACATATCTACCAAGCTAACGCCGACGGGTCCGGTGTCAAACAGGTGTCAAGTACATCCCATACAGGTATGAACAAGAGGGTGGTAACTCTGTGGTGTGAGTGGAACGGTGTCCGAGATGCATGGTGTCGAGGTGTTAACCACATGGTATCAATTAAACAGTGTCAAAAGCACATTATGTCAAAGTGTTTTACCCATATAATGGTGTCAATAAACTAATTCAGAGATACATAGTACCAAACAGGGGCGTAGACAACGGGGGGGGGGGGGGGATGAGGGGGATGCATCCCTCCCACCTCACAAGGTGGGGGGATGGCATGTACAATCATCCCCCCCCAGGTTTTGGGGAATGATATTTGCTTACTTAATAAGTCATAATGATGATAATAATAGTAATAATAATAATGATAACAATTATAATATTAATAATAATAGTAATTATGATGATGATAATAATAATTAATCATTATTGTAATTGTGTTTATTGTTATTAGCCGCATTCACACGGTGAAAGCCAATTCAGACGGTAAAAAAAAGAAAATCTTACAAGTATTTTGTGGTTATCTTGTGGTTTGGAAACCACAAGATAACCACAAGATTAAACAGGCGCGGATCTACGGGGGGGGGGGGGGGTTAGGGGGTTTAACCCCCCCCCCCTTGGGCAGCCAAAAAAACAAAAAAAAAAAAAAAGGAAAAAAAAAAGAAAGAAAAAAGAACGCACGCTGGAGAGAAACCCTTTCAAGTGCAAATATTGTGAGAAGATATTCAACTCATCTGGTTACTTAACCAAACACATGATAACTCTGGATATAACTGTGTATTTAACTGTCACTTGATTTAAAAAGACGTTATCATGCACTGCTTTTTATGGTCTCCATTGTGTTAATAGATGCCAGGAAACCATCACTTACGGGGTTCAAATAAACACCCCCCAAAAAATCGGTTCGCCGCTTCGCGGCTCGTGGACGATGCTCCGCATCGTCATTATTGGTCACCCCCCCCCTTAGCAAAAAGCTAGATCCGCCCCTGAGTCACCCCCCCCCCAGGAGTACGAACCTGTCTACGCCACTGGCTAAGATGATTATAAATTTGATCTCAGCCAATCAAAAAAGTTATTATTTCAATAGCTTATGATATGTATTGTACTCTCTAAAAAAATCGAGTGATCACGGACGTCACTCCTCTGGAGAGTGAAAATGTAATGAAAATAGAGTGAACATTCACTCTTTTCTTCTAAGAGAGCAATTTAAATTCAATCGATTTTCACTCCTAAACAGTGATCACGGGCGTCACTCCCAAGAAAGTGAAAATAGAGTGAAAATTCACTCTTTTTTTTTAAAGAGAGTAACTTATTTTATATTGATCGAAGTTTTAATTATGGCAATAGGATTTTTTTTTAGTCCTTTATCGGAAAAAAGGGTTGCATTCTTTATTTGAGTGTTGAATGTTGTAACAATTACAGCGAATTGAAAAAAAATCAATGACATTTTTCTTCTTTTCAGAACCAACATCGCTTTCGATCGACGAAACCAACCAGCAGATTTACGTGGCTTACAAAGGCGAGGAGCTGATCAGTAGCTTTAACCTCAACGGGACAGTAGTGAGGGAGACATCAGTGCACCCTGCTCTGAGTAAACCAGGGGCCATTCATGTCGATTCAGAGAACGGGTAAATAAATTAAAAATACTCTTGTACAAGATGAAAGTAACAACGTTAACACGTTCAGGGGCGTATCTCCAAATCGAGGGGGTTTGGGGTTTGGGGGGGGGGGGGGGTGTCCTCCGTAACGATCTTGAGATGGGGAACTGGGAACTATTTTATATAATTTGATTTGATCTGCCCCATTTCCAAATGGGCCGTGATACAGAGGGGAGTGGGTTGAGGGGGACGTACACACTCGTTTCTTCCCTGGTTTTATACCACTGTCCCTTCGGATAAATAAATATGACAAATATGGCGTCGGTACGGGAGCACGTGAGCATAGTCGAATGATGATTTTTTTTTTAAAGAGAGAGATGGAGAGAGAGACAGAGAGAGAGAGAGAGAGAGAGAGAGCGGGAGGGGGGGGGGGGCTGGCAGGGACGAGACCCCCAACACGATCGGCCCCTTCAAGCAGCCTCTTTATAATCGGTAGTCTTCGTTAATTCGCATTTATTTACCGTGTATGACCCTGGCTCCCTCACATTCAAATCATTCTGTAACTGATCCCATCTGTTCTTCCTCTCACATTTCCAGGTATCTGTACTTCACCCAGTTCGGACGGGTGGACCGATCACCGCTCTCCGGTGGGAGTATCACCAACCTCCATTACAACAACGATCTTGGTGAGATCGAGGCAATGGCCGTCGATGTCGAAGGTACAAAGTTCTTTCTCTCTTTCTCATTCACTATCTCTTCCCTTTCCCTTCTCCCCTTTCTATTTATCTCAATATCTCTATCTTTTCCTATCGTTCCCCCTTTCTCTCTCTCTTTCCCGTTCTCCCCTCTCTCTTTCTCCCCTATTTTTTTCTCTCACTGTCTTTCTCTTTCCCCTAAATCCCTAGCTCTCTATTTCACCCCTTTACCCTCTCCCCTCCTCTCCTCTCTCCAGCACTCCCCCTCTCCCACTCACTCTCTCCTCCTCTCTCCCCTCTTTCGAATCTCTCTATCTTCCTCCTACCGTTCCCCTCTCTTTCTCTCTCTTTCCCATTCTCCCCTCTCTCTTTCTCCCCTATTTCTTGTCTCTCACTGTCTTTCTCTTTCCCCTCAATCCCTATATCTCTATTTCACCCCTTCACCCTCTCCTCACCTCTCCTCTCTCCAGCTCTCCCCCTTTCCCCTATCCCACTCTCCCACTCTCCCACTCACTCTCTCCTCCTCTGTCCCCTCTTTCCCCTCTCTCATTCTTTCTCATCCTACTCGTATAATGACCAGGCGCGTTAACGAAATAAATTTAGTTGCAGTTAAAAGGGTGCATGTCTGTTTTGAACCCGCGGCTTGACCTAGCTGGGTCACTAATTTCGAGAACAACAATAATGTTGATATAATATAAGACGAGTTGACGATGGTGACCGTTTCTACTAATCTCTCACCGTTGTCGTTTCTAGGTCAGCGTATCGTGATCAGTGATCCCGGCAATGGCCTAGTCGTCAGTATGAACCTCGACGGCTCCCTACCAAAGGTCATCAGCAGCCTATCCTCCAACTACAAGATCACCGACCTACAGTTCTACCAGGGCGACCTCTACGTTAGCAACGAACTCGAGCATCGGTCCATCATGAAGCTAAGAAATGGAGTGGGGAGACCGGTGAAAGCCTATACGGACAACCGAGACGTACTCAGCTATCCGAGGAAGTTCCACATCGCACGTGTAGACCTCTAGGTGTATTCGTGGATAGCCCCACGGTTGTATTTATTCAGGCATTTTCGTTTATATTGATGTTTTTAAATAAAGCAGATCTATTGCGCCATTCAAATAGCCCGTAGCACACGAAGCGTCATTTTGATTGCGTCATTACCTCAGAACATAGTGATGGCAAACATCCAATCACCAGTAATTCAACGCACTGTTTTAAGTCTTCATTTTGTGTCCATTTTTGTTACGAGTTCACTCTTAGATTGCGCGTCAATGACAACGTCTGCGTTGACTCAGCCCTACGCCAGCATGAGACGCCCTCACGTGCAATGGGCCCTCTACGTCCGATGCACACGAAGCATCATAGCTGGTGCTGCCCGCTTCATAAAACTTTTTATCTATAACAAACGCTTTATTTCTATGATAAATTTGCTCACAGCCAATCAGATGCCTTGATTTCAGTAGCTTATAACAGTAGCTTGTAACTTGTTATTGATATCAAGTTTGCTCTCAGCCAATCAGATGCCTTGATTTCAGTAGCTTATAACAGTAGCTTGTAACTTGTTATTGATATCAAGTTTGCTCTCAGCCAATCAGATGCCTTGATTTCAGTAGCTTATAACAGTAGCTTGTAACTTGTTATTGATATCAAGTTTGCTCACAGCCAATCAGATGCCTTGTTTTCAGTAGCTTATAACAGTAGCTTGTAACTTGTTATTGATATCAAGTTTGCTCTCAGCCAATCAGATGCCATGATTTCAGTAACTTATACCAATAGCTTGTAACTTGTTATTGATATCAAGTTTGCTCTCAGCCAATCAGATGCCATGATTTCATTAACTTATACTAGTAGCTTGTAACTTGTTATTGATATCAAGTTTGCTCTCAGCCAATCAGATGCCTTGATTTCAGTAACTTATACCAGTAGCTTGTAGCTTGTTATTGATATCAAGTTTGCTCTCAGCCAATCAGATGCCTTGATTTCAGTAGCTTATAACAGTAGCTTGTAACTTGTTATTGATATCAAGTTTTATGAAACAGGGCCCAGATGTGGTACTGTATTGGCGCATTGTGTGGTCTTTGGCGCGTTATAATTATGAGAGTAATATCGTTCAAAAAAGAAAATATATAGTGCAAACATGTCTTTAAGTCACTAACATACGTCCTGAATCAATTAACATGTTTGATTAGCGGTAGATAACCATGGTAATGACGCAGGTGAATTGATGCACCGTGGGAAGCAGGTCCCGGAAGCGTTATTTTTTTCTGCGGCACAGATTGGGGTTAGGTGCGAGTTGAGCCTATGGGAAAGTTTAGGGTTAGGGTTAGGGTTAGGGTAAGGGTTAGGGTTAAATCAAGACCTCTTTAAAAAAAAAAAAAAAAAAAAAAAAAAAACCCAATCTGTGCCGCAGAAAAAAATGACGCGTCCCGGAAGGCCTTCATAAAAAACACGGGAACACTTTACACGCTCTCTAGGAAAACAGGAAACAATAAAGTACTACATACAGTATCACTGATTTCCGTCTTAAGATAATGACGTTGGGAACCGGGTTCATATCAAGTCAGCTTAAAAGAACATCCGATTGAAGTGAGATCGGTTCCGCTCAATTGAAACAATTTTGTCGTGGGCATGTGTTATCCATCAGTAATATGATCAATAGGATTGGTAATGTAGTCATCACAGTACGACAAAAAAAAAAACATGGAAAAGGATGACTTCTCTCCTAGAACTATTATCATAATTGCTGCCTAATGTGTATGATCGTTTGGTTTTGGTTGATTTTTGTCCGTATTAAAAAAAATATATATACAAACAAATTGTTTTCAATTCCCACTGCACTACTTATAGCTTCTTGTGCCCTCTATATTTCAAGCAATGCCTAATCGGTGCCCATTGGTCCCCCATGATCCCCCTTTTCTTATGTTAATTGAGAGCTGATTTGATGAGACAACCACCTGTACGTGACCATGGTTGAAAGTCTAATCCGTCCTGACCAAACTAGTGCAGAGGGGCTTTAATGAACATAACAAACAATCAAAATCACTTCAAAATAATGAATATGAATCGCTCTTTTCAGAGCCATTATTTGTTCTTCCTAAAGGTTCAGAATTGGTTTACAATTTGTTACTCATGTTCTTTCGAATTTACCGCTCGTTCTTTTCCTCATTTCCCCATGTATTGGTCTGCTCACCGAGAGAGGGTTACTAGGCCCTGATGTTAACATGATCATGTGTTTTTATTACAACAATTTTACCATTCGAAGATCCCTAAACTAATCCAAAGATTATTAATTTAAATTTTAGATGTTATTACTCCTCGGTCTTGAATTCAACGCACTTTAAACAATGACGAGTGCCTCCTCAAAAAAATTAATTTTAGATTTTTAAAAAGAAGGAAAAAAGTTAACGGAAAGGGGACACCAACATGAGATGATAGAGCTTCGTACACACACCTGTTTATTTCTATACACATAACGTATGGCTTTGAAGACATACAAAATAATGTGGAAACAATGAAGGATATTATCATGCCATTATGAAAATACGTCACTTTATTTTAAAAAAGTCATGTTAATGTTGGTCATTATTATTAGTTTGAAGTGCTCTCAAATCCGAAATCAGGTTTTAATGAATTGTATGAGTGATGTTGGTAATTTTATTTTGTGTTTATATAAAAATGAAATACTGTTTAAGTGTTTGCTTTTCGATGAAAACGGTGTTCAAAACCAATGTCATTGCCTTTAGCAGCAATTATCTAAAGGAAGCTTGAATCTATTAAAAAACAATATATTATACTAACTTGTCATACTGACGCGTTTTGTTTGTTTGTTTGTTTGTTTGTTTGTGTTTACATTGACATAAGCGTAATACGCTCCACGAAGATAACCATGAGTCGTAGGACTACTACTCTTGAAATCCATCCCCAGGTGAAATTCATTTACATTTTAAAAAGAAGAAGAATAAAAAGAGAAGGAGGTGAAGAAGAAGAAGAAGAAGAAGAAGAAGAAGAAGAAGAAGAAGAAGAAGAAGAAGAAGAAGAAGAAGAAGAAGGAGAAGGAGGAGGAGAAGGAGGAGGAGAAGAAGAAGAGGAAGAAGAAGAAGGAGGAGGAGAAGGAGGAGGAGGAGGAGGAGAAGAAGGAGAAGAAGAAGAAGAAGAAGAAGAAGAAGAAGAAGGGGAGGAGGAGGAAAGAAGAAGAAGAAGAAGAAGAAAGAGAAGAAGAAGAAGAACAAGAACAAGAAGGAGAAGAACACGAAAAAGAAGAAGTTGATAATGGATTTATGCAAAGTATTTATCTAGATCACATCATTAGTACACAATCATGACAAGTGGCCCCAGTCACAACTTCCCAAAGTTTGCGGTCATACCGGGTCACAATTTTATGCCTTACGGGAATACAAACTCCAGGGGCCCGTTTCACAAAGCATTTTTTCAATGACAAATGACACAAATCAGTGTCAAATATGCTGATAACCAATCAGAAGCAAGGATTTCAGTAGCTTATAACAAAAAATGTCATTTGTCACTGATGACAAGTTTTGTGAAACGCCCCCTGGACTTATTGTTTCTGTCGGTGTGCACAACATGTAACATACTTTATTAAAAGGAAATAGTCGAAAGTGTCCTCATAAAAGATACCAAAGTGTGTGTTTAAAGGTATAGTTCTTCTGTTTTTTAGACAAAAATTTGTAATAGGCCTACAGAGAATATGCTGGTTTGATTAGTCTAATCATGGACCTATAGGTTAGACATAGGTTAGACCAATTAAACATAGTATACTATGGTCTAATGATCGTTTAATCATGAATAATAATAATCATCAAATCAGTATGAGCCCTTATAGGTAGTAGACGAAATGGGCATTAGACTAACTGGTTATTAGACTAAATGAACAATAGAACAAATGATTATTGGACCATGTGGACAGTCGACGGGTTAGGTGTATGGGAATAGACTAATTGGGTAGTCGACGAACTGGTAGACAAAACGAAAATTCCCCAACATGCTTATTCCTGGAAAATGATTAGGATCGCTCATAACATCCTTAGAATCAGAAGCCAATAATTTGTTGAAATTCAAGACGTAAGCTTGCTTCCAGTAGACAACATCATAATTATATGAAAACTGTTCATGGCAGACTGGCAGCTAATGCAATTTGACATGTTTGATGCATACTTTTCGTGAAAATCCAACTGCAAGCAAGACAGCTTAAATTTTCCTAACTGTCCACTTTCGCGTCCTAATCTGAAATTACATATATTTGCCAAAATAGTATTTTAAATTCTAAATTGTGTGAAATTAAAATCGTAAGTAGCTGAATATTTTGATTCACGATTATTTTTTTGAATATGTAACTATATAAACTAGTTCTTTAGAAATTAACTGCATGCCTTTAAAACAAGGAATCAACTTATATTTGGACGTCATTCGACCTTCAATCTGGTGGGGAATTCCCTTTAAAAAGAAACAAGTTCAGCCTTCTATAGTTTCCAAGTATCGGGATATTTCCTCATTATAGTGCCAACATTCATCATACTAATAAAACATATTTTTTTATATTTAAGTGAACAGTTGCTAAAGAACAGACAGACGTTCATTTGTAGCCAAAATGTTCAACAAGATAGTCACGATCTTGGTCATCGCATCGTCAGCTGTGATGCTGCCGGTCCTACCGGGCTGCCAAGCCAGAGGGTGTGGATGTCCTCCATTTTGGACAGCCTTCCAGAATAACTGCTACAGGTAAGCATAAATACTAATAATCATAATAGTAATAATAATGATAGTAATAATAATAATAATAATAATGATGATATCGATAATAATGATAATGATGATGATAATGGTAATAATAATAATAATGACAATAGTCACATTGGTATAGCGCTCAATACTGCGTTTCTATAGTGAATGTGGATGTTCAAAGCGTTTAAATTGTAATTATTATATTACCCCGGTCATTGGATTCATTCGCTAATCTGCACATGAAAGTGCGCACGCTCTACTCCGGAGGACGTCTTGTTTTTTCGTACGCAAGCTAGCCCAGATTCACCGACCTCTGAAACAGAAAAATGCCTATATTAAAAAAAAATACCCCACACTTTTGAATGAAAATTGATTTGAAGAATAATATTATCATTTTGTATGTACTGTGAAATGTTAATTAGCTTTGAAACCAGAATAAGGGAGATACGCGAAGGTGAATTTGGGATGAATTTTGCTCCTCTCTTCGAACAGGGCCTTGATAGCCGTTTAGAATTCAAAAGCTTTTACGATTTGTCGGGGTTTTAATTGCACCCTAGCCCCGCGCCTATAAGGTATTTTTAGGGATAAAGGCATTTTTCTGTTTCAATCTAGGCTTGCTTGCGTACGAAAAAAAAAGACGCCTCTGGAGGAAAGGGGGGGGGGGGGATTCCGGCAGGTGCCATTTCACAACCGCACACATTGCAATCAAACCACACTAACGTGACAAATCA